CGCCCCCTCCCTCCCTCCAGCCCTGGCTACACCTTTCCATCTTCCAGGTTCATCCCGGAAGGGCTGCAGTGTTCCTGCGGTCCCGACTGGTACACGGTGGGCACCAAGTACAAGAGCGAGTATTACTCGTGGTTCCTCTTCGTCTTCTGCTTCATCGTGCCCCTCAGCCTCATCGTCTTCTCCTACCTGCGGCTCCTGGGTGCCCTCCGGGCGGTAAGTAATGGACCTTCTGGGCCCCAGGTCTGCAGTTTTCCGGGGATGGGCTCTGAGCCCCTTTTCAAGACTACACGGAGCCCCATCTTACCCACAGCATCTGCTTCCGCCAGTGGCAAGTCACACAGTCTGCAGGAAGGCCCTAAGCAGACTGCCAAAGCCATGGTTTTGCCCAACCCTTCGCTCCCCAGCAACTGACGTTCAGAGATAGACTCTCCCCAGATCTGGAAGTTCCACCTAGCCATCCTGACTGGCAACCCTAGATCTTAGGAAGGCATTTTCTTGGGGCTGGACTTTGCCCCTTTTTTCACTCCAGCTTTCACTAAGCACCACATCATGAACCTGAGACCACTTTCCCAACATGTTTAGAGTCCAAAGTTTAGAATCCAACGTGTTTAGATACCAAAGGCACACCCTTGGTATCTGTCGGATTCCCTGATGCACATTTTAAAGATGCGTTTTTTAAAAAAAATCAGACACTTCTGCATGTTTTTTATCTCCGGGGGGCTGCTTTGTTTGGAAATGTGCCCACTTATCCCCCCAAACAGAACCAGGTAACCTTGGGGCGATAGAAAGCAAGCCCAGGGGGTGGGGGTGCTGGCTGTTTGCTTCTGCAAAATGGGCGTTTTCTGACTGGCCACGCTTACCGGGCAAGTATTTTGGGAGTGCACCCACAGCAGTCTCCCCAACTGCCAGACAGGCCCGCCACCCGAAAGGGCTCCTTGTGTTTTAAAGTGTGAGCAGACGCCGGCTGCACTGTTACCGCAAAGTCTGCAGACCCCCATTGAGGAGCTGACCTCGTGGGAAATCCTTCAGGGGCTTGCATTTTTTAAGACGGATCGTGTGTGACCGTCTGTCTCAAGTCTCCAAGTGATGGGACGTTCCGAAGGCAGCCCCTGCACGCCCTGCTTCCTTTTAAGGGAACATTCGCTCCGTTTTTCTGAAACGGCTGTCTTAAAAAAAGTGCAGTGGGCTCAGAGAAGCAAATAAATATTTTACTCATGCTTGTAAAATAGCATCAGTCCCCCCAAAGCAAACAGCATCGATTTGCGGCTTCTGAAGAGTTGTTTTTTCCTTTTTAAGCAGCTGTATTTTCCCCCTCTGCTGGCTATATTTTAATTCCAAACTCTTGGTCCCAATTTTGCAGCCTAGGATGTGGACGTATCCTTGCTAGTAGCCACCAGCCATCTATGATAATTAAATAAAGCATTTCTGGAAACTTCGGCTCGCTGCAGGCAATCAAGCAAACTTTGCGGGCTTTAATCTTAGCAAAAGTGCATTTCTTACAGCTCTGGGTAATTTCCAGAATATAAGCAAGGGCTTCTTGCTAATGAAGTGGCGACTAAAAGACATCTAAATGAGACTGCCGAACCCCCAAAAGCTGTGGTGAAAAGGCTGTGTGTGCAATAACTAGTTTGGGCACAGAAATCAGGGGGCACAAAGGCATTTTATGATCCAATGCCACGGCCAGGTTCACCCGTGGCACTCAGCGGTGGTTTCACTGATTTCGGCTTCATGTGTTGTGTGTACCAAGCCAATTGTGGAGTAATCCACAAATCCTGGTTAAATGAATTGTAGCTTAGGATGATGCAGGTATCAGGGCTAGATCTACCTTCTTGGACTTCCTAGAAATTAGCACCAGAAACAAGGGGTATAATTTGCAGCTACTGTACCTAGATTTTGTTGACATGTAAGAAGAACTTTTCTGATGGTAAAATCTGCCCAACGTCTCTGGAGCTTTTAGAATAGGCTGGACAGCTATCTCTGAAGCATGGTTTCATTTTTCTTCTGTACATTGCTGAGGGTTGGACTAGACCAGTGTTTCTCAACCTTGGCAACTTGAGGATGGGTGGGCTTCAACTCCCAGAATTCCCCAGCCAGCCATGGGAGTTGAAGCCCACCCATCCTCAAGTTGCCAAGGTTGAGAAACACTGGACTAGACAATCTTTGTAGACCCTTCCAATTATCTTCCAACTGGTGAACTATGGTTCTGTTACAAAACCAAGTTGATGTCTGCTAACCTAAACTTGCCCCATCCTCACCCACCTTCCGCTCCAACATCGACCATCCAGGTCTGGCATGGTAAGAACTCTTTGGGCTGGTCATCCACAGGTAGCCGCCCAGCAGCAGGAGTCAGCCACCACCCAGAAGGCTGAGCGAGAGGTCTCCCGCATGGTGGTGGTGATGGTGGGGTCCTTTTGCCTCTGCTATGTTCCATACGCCACCCTGGCCATGTACATGGTGAATCACCCTAAGCATGGCCTTGATCTCCGCTTGGTCACCATCCCTGCCTTCTTCTCCAAGAGTTCCTGCGTCTACAATCCCATCATCTACTGCTTCATGAATAAGCAGGTGAGTTCCCCACCACCACCTTGGAGCAAAGAAGGGGGGGAAGAGAACAGCTTCTCTTGCCTATTCTTGGTAGGTAGCTACCAAAGAGGAAGGCAGGTGTTTGGGGATGCAAGCAGCACCCCTCATTTTAGAAACTGCAAGATGATCAATCATGAGGTCCCAAACCATGAGTAGGTTTAGCCTTCAAGGAATGGTGTCCAACAAGAGAAGAATCGGAGCCCAGCGTGAAATAAAGGGCCTAGTCAATGTTGGAGTTGGGCTGAACGAGCAAGGTCATATGGAAATTTGTGTAAGGAAAGGATGAGGAGCAGGATGTCCACAGAGCATGGTAAAAAAAGTCAAGATGGTGGCCACAATAAAAAAACAGGCAGGGCTTCAATCACACCATCACCATGCCCATCTTGACTTTTTGGGCTTTGCCCTGCAGACACCTTGTCTGGATGAGGGTCGATCACACTGAGCCACAACGGCATTAACTTGGCGTCACATGACCCCAGGCGCTGTTTGCAACCTTGATTTATGGATTAGGTGGTCTGAACACCACTAACTAAACCAGCCCGAGTTCAGCATGATGCGTGCATCTGCCTGCTAGATCTGGGGAGGGTATTTAATGGGAATTCCAGGAGCACTTCCTTTGTACAAATACAGCTGGGCCCCGGGCTGCAGGGCTCGAGAAGGCAGCCTTCAGGTCGAACGGGACCAGTTCTCCAGGTCCCCTCTTGGTCAGCCTGCGATGACTGGAGGCCGCTGTCTGTGAAGGCGCTTTGGCACAGACCTAAAGCCCCTCTCTCTTCCCTTCCCAGTTCCGTGCCTGCATCATGCAAACTGTGTGCGGCAAACCTCTGACGGACGAGTCCGACGCGGGCAGCTCCGCTCAGAAAACGGAGGTTTCGTCGGTGTCCTCCAGCCAAGTCAGCCCGAGCTCAGGAGCCGGCGCCACGGGTTCTCCACGGAGCTGAGAACCACACCAAGCCCAGCCCTAGCAGCTGTCCTGCACATTTGGACCAAGATGAGGACTATGCCAAAAAAAGAGCCCCCCCCACCTCGCTGTACGATGAAGTTGTCTCACCAACCCCCCCACTCCACCCTGTCCCACTTTTTCTTTCTACAGCACTGCTCCAGGGCTCCATCTGGGCACCAAATGGCCCAGCGGGGCAGAAAAGAAGTTTGCTCCTTCTCAGAGGAGATGCTCTTTCCCAGAGGGTTTGATCCCCTAACCCTCACCTTGCAAGCAGGACGCGGCTCCAGCCTAGGTCTCGTACAGGGTCTGTGGAAACCAGGGCTGGAACCGCACCTGGCTCTGATGCAACCAGCACACCCTGGATTGCATCATCTGGGTGGCCAAGACCCAGCAGAACCGTTTGGAAAAAACTGAGCTTCAGCCTCTGGCATTTTTTGAAGCACACAAAGCTCGTACGACAGCTACCGTTGGAATTTTAGCACAGCTTCTCTCTCCACCTTTCCACTGACTTTAGAATTAGGAGCAAGGCGTTGCAACGATAAACCGAGCACAAGGAATCCAGTGCGAGCTGCTGATATGGGGAAGTGGTCGTTGATTGTCTCCTGACCCACACGCAAGGCAGTGGGAACTTTTAGGGCCACGCTGACTCCGAAAACAGCTTAGAAGAAGCGCCTGGACGAACGCTGCCTCTCGCGGTCCGCTAAGCCCATCTTTTCTCAGGCTCCTATACTGCTGTTGCTTGGAGGTGCTTTAATGAGCCAGCGGTTGGTTCAAAGCCGCAGCATCCTTTTTTCAGACTCGTGCGCAGAAGCCGAAAAAAGATGCGGCTTTTTTTAAAATTTTTGCTTGCTTTATTTATTATTAAATTTAGATGCCGCCCATCTCCCCCAAAGGGTGACTCTGGGCAGCTTACAATTAAATACCAAGACAATAAAAACAATAAAAATATAAATACCCCCCAATTAAAATCACAAGTAAATCTATAAAAGCCAGTGTACAATTCAAGATGGGGGAAGCAGTATCAATCACCCCACGAGCCAGTTCCAGCAACATGAGCCCCCATCAGGCCCCCAGGCCATCTGGCATAACCATGTTTTTACACCTTTTTGGAAGGCCAGGAGAGGGGGGGACACCCATACCTCCGGTGGCACGCTGTTCCACAGAGCAGGGGCCACAGCAGAAAAGGCCCCCTTCCTAGACCCTGCCAGCTGAAGTTCCTTGACCGGTGGGCTCCACAACATGTTCCTTCTGCCAGACCGAGCGGGGCAGGCTGATATAACAGGGGTGAGACGGCTCCTCAGATAACCTGGTCCTGTGCCATGAAGGGCTTTAAAGGTGATAACCAACACCTTGAATTGGACCCGGAAGCAAACCAGTAACCAATGCAGCTCGTGTGATAGAGGTGTTATATGTGCCCCTCTGGGGCATTCAAAACTGTCTGTGCCGCTGCATTGTACCAGCTGTAGCTTCTGGATACTCTTCAAGGGTAGCCCCAGGTAGAGCGCATTGGAGTAGTCCTTTAATTAGCAGCAGGGGGGTGAGGTCCAAAGCATCCCTTCCAAGTCACTTTCCAAGAGTGAACAGCTTTAGTAAACTTACATGTCAGCCCTGCAAAGCTGCCCCAGCCCTGGGCCATCCTGTGCCTGGGATCCATTACCAGTCCTCCAGGAAGCCTTACAGGATCCCCCCGCACGCACAACGGTTGTCAGACGTCTCTAAACCCCAGTTGCTGGGAAACGTCCATGGGAGGGTAAGATTCTGCTTCTCTCCTGGTGAGGGGCTTCTGAGAAGTACCTTAACTGACCCCACAGAAATAAGTTGCAGCTGGACCCTTTCTGTCCACACGTGAAGCAGCATTAGGGAAGCCAGATCAGACGCACATACTCGAACAACACAACATATGAGACGTCAGGAAGGATGTAAACAGTTTTATTAAGACACCATTTGTGTGTTGTACATTATATAAAACTCCACGGATGGTCTATAAGAAAGCCTCCTCAAAAGATGGGCAATGAAGAACTGGGAAGGGAAGTGATTTTCTTTCTTTCACCATCAGCTTTACATCTATTTGAATAACGGGAAGAACGTTGAGAAAGGAGCACCTCGAAGATTATAAAAACGAGACACATTTTAGTCAGCCCCAAACCTGCCCGTTAGCTGTAAGGTGAGACTAATTTTGCACAAACCTGCACAGCAGCACACTGAAACCCAGAATTGTGGGCCCAGTTTTCAAAGCTGAGGTCAACCCTCTCTGAAGTAATGGGCCCTTTTCGCAAGCTGGGCAAATTTGCTGAAGGGCCCCGTGGGTTGCACGCGCTCTGGCCGAGATTGTAAAAACGCCCACGGCAAGCCGAGCCCTATTACGGGGGCAACTCCAGGGTGGAGAAACACCTGGTCAGCCCATCTCCTGCTTTGCCACTGCCTTGCCAGCTGCTCCCTTGCTCCGGGGTCCCATCTCCTTCCCTGCGCGTAACCGTGCCGAAAAAGGTCGCTTCAGCCAACTCCTATCAAAGCCAAAGCCGCGTTCTGGTCGGCCGCCAGCCGCCCCCCATACAGTTCTGGCGACTTCTTGGCTAGAACGCTGGGCTGTTAGTATTATCACGGGGAATCTTCCTTGCCACTGCACCAAGGGGATTCGAAATTAACAGGAAGTAATACTGCTTCAAGCCTTCACCCTCGGCAATCAGTGGGGTTGCACACAGAAAGCCTTGCTAAGGAATTCATGATTACCGT